AACTTGGGAAAATACTGAACTCCCAAGTGTTTTGTAAAAAAGCATATAAGTAATTAAGCACTCACTTTTACATGTTTTTTTATTCCTTCCACTTTTTTTTTGTAGCTAGAAATCACAGCACCTGAGAAAACAGTATTAAAACTGCTGGAATTTGCAACCAAAGCTAAGAACTTCATGTCCTATCTCAGCGTAGTAAGAAAACACACACACATAATTTCGGAAAGAATATTTATCCTGTTTTGTAAACTTTGGCTTTTTCTTTACAATTATTTTTAAAAAAATGCTGTTCAGGGTTGCAAGTATACCTCACTCAGTGATAGAACACCTGCCTGGTATGGGCCAGGCCTGGGGCTCAAACCCAGTAGGAAGAAATAAGTAAGTGAATGAATAAATACAGAGAGTGAGTGTTATTCAGGTCTAAATTAACTTCCTAACTCTAGTGGGTTGGAAAACCAAACTCTGCTGATCAGTCTGTGATCATATGTAGTAGCTTCATTTAGATTAGTTTTAGTTTTCACATATTACTTATGGGAATTCAGTTTTATGCAATTGACGAAGAAAAAGGTGTGATTCTGTGTACCATTCGACTCCTTTGGAATATCTCAGAATAAGTATGTAATAAAAATGTGTTTCTCTTAACATGAGCATCTCATACTCTATATGATTGAATTACCTGATTAAATTACCTTTTTTTCAGAAGGTCCCCAAATTAGCAAGTAAACTATACATCTTAGTTGTAGAAAAGGTGATGAAGTTCAGTGTGGAAAGAAAAACTATTTTGCACTTTGTGAGGATAGTGATTTAACTTCCAAATGTAGTTTTTCTCAATGAATTTTCAAGGATGTGCCAAAGGTTAATTTTGAGTACATGACATTTATGCCTTCTTTCTTTGATTTAGAGTTTAGTTCCTTCATATTCTTAATTTTAATTGTATCCTTCAAGAATGTATTCAGTTTGTGACAAAAGATGCTGGGAGTATGGGTATACACACCTTTACCATGGTTTATATAATACCAGCTGAGAAAAAGTAAGTTAGTGTTGTAAAACTTGATTTACTTTTTGGTAGAAGCCAGATAGACTTACTAAACCTGTAAACCAATTCCAGGTTAAAAATTAGGGTTATTAGATAAAATACATGTTAGTTACCAAATTTAATGATGAAACTTTTTGGAAGCAGATGATGTTGGTATTAAGAATATATTATGAAAGAATTAAACCAGTTTTATGTTATGCTAGAAATTTAGGTGTGCTGAAAAAAACACAAATTTTGTAAATGTTTTCTGTGATTAGCCGTTGTTAGTAGTTATATCCTAATAGGTGAATCTTTCTGTGCAGTTTTAAAAAATGATAATTTACTAAATGGCTACTTTGCGTCATACTTTGTAAATAATCTTCTTCTGTAGCTTTCCTTGAATTTGAATAGGAGAATTGTTTAAATGTAGGAAATAGTTTTTGGATGTTTGTTGACTTCATTCCTTCAGTAGAGGTAAATTGAAGGCCTCCTATGTTTCCAACACTCATCCAAATGTCTGGAGCATAGGTACCTAGTGAAAAAAGGCAGTTTTGGGATGTCTGTGCTTGAATATACATGGTGTCTATTTTCACTGAGGTTGATACATAAAAGAATCAGTGTATCTCTAAGGAAGTAGAGACCCAAATCAACTAGCCTTTAGTCAGCTGTTTCATATGCTGAGTTTAATTAACATTGTAAAAAGGGTTAGGAATTTTTATTTCAATTTTAAATTATTTGTCTCTGGAAATTATGTAGTGAGAATAAAGAATTATTATAGTGTGTAATTATTAGAGGTTTTTATTTCTAATTTTTAAAAAAGAACATCTTTAAGTACCCAAAGGAAGAGAAATATAAAAAGAATGTGATTGGCAACGATTTTCTTGTTTAATAATGTCTGGAATAGTTTGGAAATTAGTTCTTCTTTTTTTTTTTTTTTGCGGGTATTTATTTATTTTTGTATGTGAGTCTTCTGCATGTGGATATATAGTTTTCCCAGCGTCATTTGTTTAAAAAAAAAAAAGCTGTTTTTTTCAATAGCATATGCTTTTGGCCCATTTGTCAAAAATCAGATGGCTGTAGGTGTGTGGGGTTGTTTCTTTGTGTTCTGTTATATTCCGTTGGTGTATTTGTCCGTTTTTGTGCTAGTATCGTGTTTTTGTTACTATGGCTCTGTAGTGTAACTTGAAACTTGGTATTTTGATGCCTCCAGCCTTGCTCTTTTTTGTTCAAGATTGCTTTGCTTATTCTGGGTCTTTTCTGATTCCACATGAATTTTAAATGTTCTTTCTTTTTCTCTAGTTCCGTGAAGAATGTTGGTGGTATTTTAATAGACAATTACATTGAATCTGTAGGTGACTTTTGGAAATATTTTCATTTTAACATTGTGACTTCTGTAAAAAAGGGAGGACTTTCTGTTGTCTAATGTTTTCTTCAGAGTTCTATAATTTTTATTGTAGAGATATTTCACCTTTTGGTTAGGTTGACTTGCAGGTATTTCATTTTTTTCTCATCTGGAGAATGGAATTCTTTTCTTGATTTCTTTCTCCATGACTTCATTACTGTTGTGCAGGAACCCTATTGATTTCTTTTAGTAATTAGCGGTACAATACACTTTGAAGGCAATACAGCATTTGAATAATTAAAATACAGACTATCACTTAGTTCCACAACCCATTTGTAGTATGTTATTTCTCACCAAGGAACTTATTTCTTTTTCCAAATTACTAGACGCATTGTATAGCATGATGGCTGTAGTTAACAACAGTGAATTGTATACTTGGAAATCGGTGAGTGAATAGATTTTAAGTTTTCTCTCCACAAAAAAGATGCTTATATGAGGTAATGGACATGTTAACTAGCTTGATGTAGTCAAGTGAATATATATATACACACACACACACAATAACTGTATACAGTGTTAACTAAGAAATGATATTAAGATTCTATAGGAAAAATTGATAAATATATTTTAAATCTTGGAATAGAGAAGGGCTTTCTAACTCATACATAAAATCCATGAGCCATAATGAAAAAGGTAGATTCATTTGATTACATAAAACTAATAGTTTTTTCAAGAAAATCCCTACTGTAAATAAAGTTAAATAAGCACTAAAGAACTGAGAAAAACTATAAACCATTTGGTAGGCATAAGTCTAATTTTAAGATTTCTTCTAAGCTCCAGCAACATTTTTATATTTCATTGGCAGACTTCAAATCATATAGCCACAAGATAACAGGGACCATAGTGATAGTGGGCCAGCAAAGAGACAAAATGGTTCCTGTAACTAAAAGGAGAGAGTGGATGGAGGCAGATACAAATTGAGGTACCTACCACAGGAGTAAACTCACACAGCCAAATGCAGACTCTTAAATGGAGTGTGCCAAGACCAAACAAAAAACAAAACAAAACAAAAAGCAACCAAAAGAACTACCCCACAAAACAGAAAGAAACCAGATAAGGGATTACCAGAGGCTTGTGTTTTGGTAGCTATAGAAATACAGTAGTCAGGGAAGGCTTCTCGAGGTGGTGGTATATGAATGAAGTAAAGGCATAATCTGTAAAAACCTAGTAAATACGATGTACAAAGGCCCTAGTTCAAATAGAGCAACAAAATCTGTGTGAGAAGGAAAGGAGAGAGGGACAGTTGAGGTTGGAGAGGTGTGTATGCAGCCACATTATGTGAGGTTTTGTAGCCTTGTCAGAGAGTTTGGATTAATTATTTCCTAATCTAGTGGGAACCCATTGGGAAGTTTTGAGCAGAAGGCTAAAGATTGTTATAGGGAGGTAGGCAAGCGTGGGAATTAACTTGGACTAGGGTGATAGTAGTGGGAGTGATAAGAGTTGTCAGAATTGGGATGTATTTTGTAGATAAGACCATTTCTGATATTTTGGATATGAAGCGTGAGGAAAGGTCAACCAAGATTAACTCCTACCTTTTAGGTCTTTGAACTAATGCGTAGATAGTGGTGCCATTTTCTGAGATGCAGAGAGGCAGGTTTGTGAGAGGGAAGGAATGAAGAATTTTACTTTAGACAAATTCTGACTTTAAGATGTTATTAGGTATTCCAGGGGAATTGTCATATAGGCAGTTGGATGTAGAAGTCTGGACCAATCAGTAGAGGAAACAACTAGAGATAGACATGTGGAAGTCTAGGTGAAAAATTAGTGTGTAAAACCATGGAACTGGGGCTGGGGATTTAGCGCAGCGGCACAGCGCCTGCCTGGCAAAGCGCAAGGTTGTGAGTTTGTACTTCCAGTACTTCCTGGTACTGGAAGAAAAACAAAAAAAAAACAAGAAAAAACCACAAAAAACCATGGGACTGATATGCAGTCAGGTAGGGCACTGTTTCTCAGTGTTGAGGGCACAGATTCATGTGAGGAACTTTCAGAAAATACTGGAAAGATGCTTGGATCTTACTTGAGATGAATTAATGTGAATTGCTAGGTCATCACAATTTTTTAAAAGCTCCCCAAAACTGATTCTTAAGTGTCAAGTAGGAGTTAAAAACAACTGATACAGGCAGTAGGACTGACATTGTCCAGTGTCCATTGGGTTTGGCAATATAGAGGACTTGAAGAATGATTTTTAACATAGTGGTGGAGAGGGAAATCTTATTAGAAGACATAGAGTGAATGAATGGGAGTTGTGGAAGTGGAGACAATGATCATAGGCAACACTTTTTGTTAAGGAATTTGCTCAAAGGAGTTGAAAGATGAAATAATAGTTGCAGGGTAGTTTCCTTGTAGAAAAAACTCAGTATTTCAACATTTGTATCCCAAATTGTGAATAGTAGAAATATTAAAACTAAATATAGGTTACCATTGTAAGAACTTTTTCAAATAAAACTTTCCTACTGCACCTTTAGAGAATTCATAGTTAAAGAAGTAGGGATCAAGTAATTGTGTTTTTAAATTTTTAAAATTTAATTTAATGTCTTTGATATTGATACCAAACAATGTACTTAACACAACTTTCATTTCTTTAAGGCTGATAAAGAATTTGTATGGTCTTTGTGGAAACGTCTCCAAGTAACAAGCCCAGATCTTACACAGGCTGTCAGTTTGGTTGTGGAAAGGTGAGCTCCCAAATTATTTTTCATAAATATTTGGTTTGTTAAATGTGTTTGTTATTAATACCCTAAAGAGGTTAATTTGCCTTCTAATTGAATGTGGAACAGGATATGATAATTACTGGATTCATTACAAGAGGTACTAATTCACCAAATAGAGGCAGGCCCCATTCTCCTGTACGTCATGTTCTGACACAATTGGAGAGTTTGCAAGTAAGAGAAAACAAAGAGGGTATATATATATATATGTGTGTGTATATATTTGTATAGCTGTTATAGCTTGGTTTTAAAAATTGAAGTCCCTATTGTTTGGTGTTTTACTTCATAAACTGCCGCTATGGGGAACTTTTTAGGCCCAACTTACTGTTCTCCTAAAATAATTGCATTGTGTGTTTGAAAGCCTTGTCATGACCTTGCCAGATTAAGTAATTTTTTACGAATAGATTGAGCAATTTCACATATAAGCCATATTATCCAATAGGAGATGCCTGGTAGTTTAACTATAGATATTGAATTTCTCCCTGGTCATTTAAGAACAGTGTTGCTGGGTGCTCCTTACCCGACATGTAGTATGCGGTAGTTCCAGGCCCCTTAGCCTAACAGTTAGAAAAACTACTTTCCTATTAAATGCATTCCACTGTATTTCCTAAATGAGAGGCTAAGTGTATAGATACCTTCTCCTTTCCCTTTTTCCTTTGTTGGAATCATTTTTGATAACTTAATAGATTCATCTTTGAAGTTTCAAGCCCTAGGGTTATTCTACTATTGTTTGGAGTTTGATTTTTTATTTTTATTTATTTATTTATTTTTTTGGTTTTTCTCTGGTACCGGGAACTGAACTCACGACCTTGCGCTTGCCAGGCAGGCGCTTTGCCGCTGAGCTAAATCCCTAGCCCCTGGAGTTTGATTTTTTAAAAACCTATGATACATTACTGAATATGTTTAATTTTATCATCCTTGATTGTTGTAGACTCTTAAGATATTGTAATCAGTTTTTATTCATGTATATATGTCTTATTCATCAGGTTTTTTTCCTTTTGATGATCAGAATTAAGTCTTTAGTTGAAGCTCCGTTGTTACTTCCTGAGTCATCCATGAGATGAAATGTGATTACAGTCTCCCTGTATTTTTCTATATGAAGCAGAATAAGCCTTCTAGACGAGCGACTTCATTTGTCATTTCTGTGATCTTTTCTTTATCCTCCTCTCTTTTTTATTTTTTTCAACTTTTTAAAAATTGTTCTCCTCTGCTTTCTCTGCCATTGGATTATTTTGAAGCAAACTCCAGACTACTACTTTACCTATAATTACTTTGGTGTTTACAGTTACTTCTATTTATTAATAATAGTTATGTTCTATAAAGTTTTTAGAAATATTGAATGAGAAAACACTGAGCCATTACTCCTCGGGGAAATCAAGGGATAGGTTCCTGTGAGCCTTTGGCCGTAACAGTTTTGTCAACAGATCAACACTTAACCATGTTTTATGTGTGTTTCTGTGTAAAGATACCTCATTTACTATTTATCATTGATTGATTAACATTGAACTCATGGCCAGTAGTACTATAACTCAGATTTCACTAAGTTGATGTAACACACTATTCCCTGTGGTACAAAACAGCCTTCTTTCACTTAGGAACGATAGAAAGGTGTTCAGTAATAATCCTTTTAAATATCAACAAAAAGTACAGAGATGTGTAAAATATGGTATTGCATAGATCATCTTTACAGTATGACAGTTGTTACAAGAAGCTAGTGTCACCTTATTTGACATAAACTGGGAACAGATAGATAAGGTGGCTCAGTTTGTACATGCTTACAGGTGACTGCAAATACTGATTTTGGTATTGCAGATAAATTTTAGTGCAGGCAAGTGCACAAATTCTGAATCTGTGAATCTGTGAATATTTCAGCAAATATTTCTGAAAGATAAGGGCTTCTAAAAAACATAATGATATCATTTCATGCTTAGAACTCTATTTTCTATTTTGGTTAAAATGCTGTGGATGGTCATACTTTGTGATTCTTTGCACACTTTATATTTTTTTCTTGAAAAGTAGATATTTTAGATATAGTAAATCTCATTATTAGTTTCTTCTTCCATACCCACATCTAGGTTTGTTATTTTTTTTTGTTTATTTGTTGATTTTAGTGAAGCCTGTTTTGCCTTCTCACTGTATTGAGTCTGATGTTACTCTTAGGGCAGATGTGGGTGTGCCCACAGTTACCCTGGCATGACAGTATTTTTGGCAGGGCTGCCTTTTCTCTTTGACTGCACTCAATTGTTAAACTCCACTAATTGCCTATGGCTCTTTGCTCAATTATTTCAATGGTGCCTTCAGGCATAAGTTGTTCTATAAACCAACATAATCAATTTGTGGCTCTTTTGACGTTTCACAATCAGTGTATGATATTTTTTCCAGTCTGGGAGGGGCTTCTTTCCTGTCTCTGAGAAACTAGGACTCTGGTTTAGCGCAGTGTTCGTGAATCTTTTAGAGTTTCCAATGATACAAACACCTGCTGCAGCACTTGTGCTGTAGGTTCGCAACCACTGGAACAGCTTTAATCTGTATGTTGAACTCTTTTCATTTGCCTTCAACCATTACCTTCCTCGTTTTTGAGAGTGCCCCCACCTTCGAGCTTCTCTAATACGTTGTAAGTCAAGTTAGTTTTTTAGGGAAGAGTTTAAGAACTGTTTCTCATTCTGCTTTTTCCTACAGGAAAAAGAAAATCTCTGAGTTAGACCTTTGACCTGGTGGCGGGGACAGTATGGGAGTACAGCCTTCATTGGGAACTGATTGGCCTGTGGAAGGGAGACAGTACCCTGATATCTTTGGTTTGCCTCCACTGTTGTGGAACCATTGTGTCACAAGTGGAAATAAAGACTTTTAGGTCTCAATATTCTGTACCCAAAGTAGAGCCTATTCCATAAATTTGGGATGGTAGAACAATGGATTCTCCTGCTTTTTACTGTCCTTAGCCTCAGAGACAGTGAGCTGGAACAGGATGTGATGTTCTGATATACTTTTCCTACTGGGAAGAAAGCCCTACAGTGGTGAGCTGACAGGAATATCCCGAGAGAGTCTTTTGTTCTTGGCTACAGCTCTCTGGAGTAGAGTTTCTCTGCTCTTGAGCTGGAAGTGTACGAGTGTACAAGGTGTCTTGGTTCAGATATCATAGACACTTGCCTTTCTTAGTGACTTTTCATAGGTTTCTTAAATAGACATTTTTCTTTATAGATTTGTCCTTAGGATCATTTCCAGAGGATTTAGGTAGTAGTAGCTGTTGTTATTATTATTATTATTTTACTGTTTCCACCAGTTTCATTGGGGAATGAATTGGGGAACTTTTTACACTGTCATTACTAAAGTTCATTTCTCAATGTTTGGGCAGTTGTTTTCCACAAATAGAAAACTTACACACTAAATCAAAAGGCATATAATTACAGTTGTGATAGGTACTACCAAATCACCTGTTTAAGAAATTATCCCAATTTATATTTCCACCAGCAATGTAAGAGGGTACTTGCTTTACCCACATACTGGAGATCATGTTACCTTTAACTTTTGTTAATTTTGAAATGTAGAAAGTAATATCCTGAAATGGTTTTCACTTGTATTTTTCTTACTTTATGTGAATGAAGTATGGGTCATGTTATATTATTCTCCGTGAACTTTTTATGTATCTTTCTGTATTTATTGTTTTTGGCATTTCTAATTCTTATGGTACCCTTGACACTCAGTATATATATATTTATAGAGCTTATTGGGATTTCTTGGAGTTATTTTGCTACCTAACTTTCTCACTGTCATGGACAGGCCATTTTCTTCTTTTTCTCTAAATTTCACATTTTGAGGGGTAATCTTTGATACCTTTTGGTCTCTTTGTGAACAGAAAATCAATTCCCAAGTTAAGTCACTTTCCCTTTTGCAGTGTCACTCAAATGTGGTAATTCCTTCATGTCCTTAACTTTCAAATTCTCTGTCTTGGCTCTTAGTGTCTTAGCTCCGAACATCCTATTGATTTCTTTTTCAAAATCAGTTCTGTTTTACATCTTTTCTTTGAGACAAAGCAAGATATAAGAGACCAAAGGAAATAATTATAAAATTCAGGCTCTGGGTAGCCAATGAAAACTCTAAGACTTTCTTAATGGATATCTAGAGGAAATGTAGCTGTTAGGCATGGATCCCTAGTGAACACCAAAGTTGCGAAGAAACTCTATTTGGATATGCATGAGATTTGGATATGCGTGGCCATATTTAAAAGAGATGTCTGTATTACCTTTGTAAATTCAAAAGGTATGATTTGAGTATCATCTGATTGTCAAAGTTTGTGCTAACAGAGAAAGATAGTTCTGTATTTAGCTATAAAAGAATACTGGCTAGTGGGAAGGACATTTATACAAAGAGAAAAATTTTGATAGAAATTGATGTGTTATAATGATATTTATTTTTTCTTGATCTCTGGGTAAAGATATAAAAATGTTCTCACTAATTCTATTTTAGTAATTTGAAGTTTATTATAAATAAAATTTTGATTTTTCTAATAGAATATCACACAAATAGGAAAAGACTTGAATATGTTTTCTTTAGGAATTCATTTATAGGAAATTTTATTTTGTTGTGATTTATAGATATCTGAATGTATTTTTTTTTTGAGTTTTATGAACTGTTGCTTCAAAAAGCACATTTTGGATATATCACTTGTGTTAGCTCTACAGATCTATTTTTTTTTTTTTTTTTGGTATCGGGCATTGAACTCAGGACCTTGCACTTGCCAGGCAGGCACTTGTGCTACTGAGCTATATCTGCAGCCCTCAGATCCACTTTTCTTGCTATTGCATGTAAAGTAGCACTTCCTATTACTAACATCGAAGGGTACAACCACTGTACTTTAGCTTAGAATGCATAAGGGAAAATTGCGAGAGATGGTGTAATAAACATGGAAGAAACAACATGGAGTTCCATAGAATATCAATATATTAGCAAGCATAGGATCTTGAATTGTT